AGGAGGAGGTGGGGGAGGTAGGGGAGGAGGAGGAGGAAGGAGGTGGAGGTGGTGGAGGAGGTGGCTGAGGGAGGGCAGGACGGAGGGAGGAGGGAAGAAAATTAAGGCCGCTGGACCCGACCCGACCCGACCCGACCCGCCCGTTAGGGTCCGCCCGTCCCGACCCGACCCGACCGCCCGTTAGGGTCCGCCCGACCCGACCCGACCCGACCCGTTGGGTTCTCGCGTGCCCTCTCGATTATACGCACCACACTTTAATGTCCCGCGAGCCGGACCCGACCCGCCCGTTAGGGTCCGCCCGTCCCGTCCTGACCACCACACTTTAATGTCCCGCGAGCCGGACCCGACCCGCCCGTTAGGGTCCGCCCGTCCCGTCCTGACCCGACCCGCCCGTTAGGGACCGCCCGACACGACCCGACTCGACCGTTAGGGTTCTCGCGTGCCCTCTCGATTATATGCACCACACTTTAATGTTCCGCCCGCCCGACCCGACCCGACCGTTAGGGTTCGCCCGACCCGACCCGACCCGACCCGACCCGACCCGCCCGTTAGGACTCTCGCGTGCCCACTCGGTATGCACCATAATTGAATGTCCCGCGAAACCAGCGGGGCGAAACCAGCGCGGGCGAAACCAGCGTCGGGCGAAACCAGCGCCGGCGAAACCACCGTCGGGCGAAACCAGCCCCGGCGAAATCAGCCCCGGCGAAACCAGCCGGGCGAACCAAGCCCGTGCCACTCCCCCCCCCTGTCGCCCAATGTCGAAACGCCACAGAAGAAAACGTTCGCCAAAAGGAACGGCCCCTGGGGGGGGGCCTCGCGCAGCGCCCTCGGGCGCGCGCCGCGCGCAGCCCGCTCGCGCGCGCGCCGAAGAGGAGGGCCCGCCCGCCTGCGGGTGCGCGGCCGCGGCAGCCCAGGCGCCGCGGGGAGAGGCGAGGTGCCCGGCGTGCGCGGGCGGGCTGCGCCTCTCTCCCGGGCGGTTGCCCAGGGGGGGGAGAGCATGCTACGCACGGGGTGACGTCAGCGAAAGCAAAATGCAGGGGATCCGTGAGCGGATCAATCCAGGTCGAAGAAGCGCTGATGCCTCTATTGAGTGTCCACCCCGTCCCGTCTTCAGGCCCGTTCTGGGCGGTTCGGGGGGGGGGTCTCTGGGGATCACTCTCGGCGGCGAGCGAGGGGGGGCAGTGAGGGCCTTCTCAGAAGGTTGGGAACCAACTACTGGGAGGTCTTCGTCGGAAGAATGAGGGGGGTGGGGGCTCGGGGGGCAGTGAGGGCCTTCTCAGAAGTTTTCTAGGGGGCACCTGCTGGGAGGTCTTCGTCGGAAGGATCAAAAAGGGTGGGGGCTCGGGGAGGGGGCCCGGGGGCTTGTAATGGGCCCCAGGAGCGGCAGGGCCGTGATTTCCCCGCTTCCGAAGAAAAGCATATCTGGAAAGTGGAAGCGGGAAAAAAACGGCGACCGGGCACGGCAACAAAAAAAGCTCTGGGACTGGAACTGGAGCTGGAACCTGTAAAGCAAGAAGAAACCTGAAACAAAAACAGCGTCGGAACCGGCAAAGAAAACAGCAAAACGGAACGGGTAAAAAAGGCCCTCTCGTTTACAGGGCCCGGAAAGGTCAGCGGGTGCGGGGGCTCTGGGGATCATTCTCGGCAGCGAGCGAGGGGGTGGAGCAAAGAAAAAAGGTTGATCTTCTCAGAAGGCTGGGAGGCAGCTACTGGGAGGTATTCGTCGGAAGGATGAAATAGGATTGAGCCCCATTGGAAGACTGCTACACTGGATTAGGCCGCGGATTGAGCGGGATGAAGCTGGACCCAGCGGGATCAAGCAGGATTCAGCGGGATCGCGCCGGATTTAGGACCAGGGCAAATTCAGAACTTGATTGCATGTGAAAGGGGGGAGTGCTCTGGGGATCATCCTCGGCGGCGATCGCGCAGTGCCCTAAGCCTTCCGCGGAGACACAGGAGATTTCTCAGAAGGCGCGAGGGTTTCTGAGAAGCCCCGCCGCCTTGCGAGGAGGAGGAGGAGGAGGACGAGGGGGAGGAGGCGAAGGCAAAGGAGGAGGAGAAGGAAGAGGAATATGGAGAGGAAGAGGAGGAGAAGGAGGAGGAGGAGGAGAAGGCGGAGAAGGCCTCCTCCTCGCTCCCCCTCCCTCGCTCGCCGCCGACGCTCGGCATAGGCATGGCACCAAGGAGGGTCCACGGATCGAGGGGCTTGCATGAGAGAACAACACACGCTCAAACCCAGGCCGATAGGTCGGTCGGAGTCGTAGGCCGCGGGCAGCCCATGGACGTACGCGGCAGCATGCAGATCGGCGCGTCTGCGTGCCCGCTGAAACATGCTGAATCAAATGTCACGCGAGAGCTGCGTGGGAGGAAGGCATGAAACAGAGGAAGACAAGGCATGGGGAACGGGGAGGGGCAAGGGGGATCCCGGTGCTATGGGTATGGCTGCGAATTTTCGGACCCCGAGGGAAGCTCCCGTTCGAGCGGAGGGGGGCCATCCGACAACACACACACAGACACACACGCACCCATAGCCCCCCACGGATCGAGGTTCTTGGTGCAATCATCGTGTTACCAGAAAGAACGCATAATAGGACACCAAAGGGCTTCTCTGGCCACGGCGGGCCTAGGCCACAGACAGGCTCCACGAAATGAATCTCAGGGTCGGCCCGAAAACCCGAGCTCCTCCTGAGCCCAAAGAGACCCTTAGTTCAACGTCTTGACTGCATCGAGGGCCGAGTACCGATACGGAGGCCACTCGTGAGAGGCTTTCGTCAGAACGACTGAGGGCTATCAAGCCCGATGAGGGGGCCACTGAGCCAGGTCCTCTTGGGCCAGAGAAGAGTCTGGACGAAGAGGAACGAATCCAAATTCAACGGGCTCCAGCGGGATGTAGACAGCATGCAGCCAGAGTAGGCCGGTTTCCGACCAGGGACACGCCAGCGCCGATTCTGAATTTGAACCTCCCAGGAGTTCCGAACCAGGGATCGAGGATGAGGAGGAGGAGGAGGAGGAGGAGGAGGAGAAAACGAGGAGGCGGAGGAGTTTGTGGGCATCGAGGCTCGAGCATCGACACTTCTCCAAAAGGCTGCTGGGCGCCTCCGGGCCCCGCGCTGGGCCTCCGCGGCGGAGAGGCCTCCAGCCGCCGCCGCACGCGTCGTGGCCGCGCCGCCGCTCCAGGGTCGAGGGGTCCAGAGGTCGAGGGTAATCTGGGTAATCTGGGTAATCAAGTCCAGGGCCCCGCAGTGCAGAGCCCTGAATGAACAAGAAACGAAAACTAGAAGGCCCCCTCCCCCCCTCCTTGCCTCTGCTCCTTTCGATGGGTCGAGGGCCAGGACCAGGCTCCACCTCTCCAGAGCAGCAAGGGGGACAGGATCCCCAGACATCAAAACATTGCTGAAAACATAGAACGAACATAGTTGTAGCTCCTGGGGTCCCCGGGACACGCGTGGCTCCCTGGACCGTCAAAAACGTCTCGGAACGAAACACCGGCCGTGGGGAAAGGATCGGGACTTCTGGTATCTCCGTTCTTGAACAACAACAAAACACTGGACCTATGGGCCAGCCAGCACCAAACCTAGGAGGCTAGTTCTGGAGTCTTGGCTGAGAACGATTCAGAACTATCAAACCCGACACCGGTACCTTTACGCCCCCCAAAGCAAGTCCAGGATTAAGCAGGATTGGGCGGCATGAAAAGAGATTTTGCCAGATTCGGTCGGCTTTCGACGGACACGGCAGCGCCGATGCTCAATTCAGACTCCGAGGAGCTGCACCCAGACCCCCGACGTCATGACATGTTCATAATGTCGTCTCGACACACCGGTTTTTCATCTCCAATCGTTTTGTGACGGTCCCCTGGCCCGGTAAGGGCCCCGAAAGACCGGGAATGGCGAAAACCTCCCCTCATGATTCTTGCAATCTCGGGGGTCTGGCATGATAAAGCAAAGGCACAATCACGCAACATCGCATCGGGCAATCGAAACAAAATCGGAGCGCGCGTCGGGTCGGGCTGCAGCGGCACAGGGACCCGAGATCGAGTCGGGACGGCCGCGTCAGTACACCCCAGCAGCCATGCAGACATGGGAGACGGGAGGGCGGGGAGCAGGAGGAGGAGGAGGAGGAGGAGAAAGAGTAGGACGAGAGAGTAGGAGCAGGAGTAAGAGCAGGAGCAGGAGCACTAGCAGGAGTAGGCGTAGGAGTAGGAGATGAAGGAGTAGGAGTAGGAGTAGTAGGAGTATGAGTATGAATAGGAGTAGAAGTAGTAGGAGTAGTAGTAGGAGTAGAATGAGTAGTACGAGTAGCGGTAGTAGTAGTAGCAGTAGTAGTCGTCGTAGTAGTAGTAGTAGTGGTAGTAGGCGTAGTAGTAGTAGTAGGAGTAGTAGTCGTAGTAGTAGTCGTAATAGTAGTAGTAGTAGTAGTAGTAGTAGTAGTACTACTACTACTAATGGTAGTAGTAGTACTCGTAGTAGTAGTAGTAGTAGTAGTAGGAGTAGTAGTAGTAGTAGTAGTAGTAGTAGTAGTAGTACTAATGGTAGTAGTAGTACTCGTAGTAGTAGTCGTCGTAGTAGTAGTAGTAGTAGTAGTCGTAGTCGTAGTCGTAGTAGTAGTAGTAGTAGTAGTAGTAGTAGTAGTAGTAGTAGTAGTAGTAGAAGTAGTGGTGGTAGTAGTAGTAGTAGTAATAGTAGTAGTAGCAATAGCAGTAGTAGTAGTAGTAGTAGAAGTCGTAGTAGTCGTAGTAGTCGTAGTAGTCGTAGTATTAGTAGTAGTAGTAGTAGTAGTAGTAGTAGTAGTAGTAGTAGCAGTAATCATAATAGTAGTAGTAAGAGCACGAATACCAATTGTCGTAGTAGTAGTACTAGTAGTAGTAGTAGTACTAGTAGTAGTCGTAGTAGTAGTAGTAGTAGTAGTAGTAGTAGTAATAGTAGTAGTAGTAGTAGTAGTAGTAGTAATGGTGGTAGTGGTAGTAAACATAATCGTAGCCCTAGCGATAGTAGTCGTAGTCGTAATACTGGTAGTCGCAGTCGAAATTGTAAGCGTAGTAGTGGTAGGGGTACTGCTAGTGGTAGTAGTAGTAGTAGTAGTAGTAGTAGTAGTAGTCGTAGTAGTAGTAGTACAAGTACTAGTAGAAATAATCGTACAGGTTGTCGTAGTCGTCGTAGTAGTAGCGGTGGCAGTAGTAATAGTCGTAGTAGTAATGGTGGCGGTAGTAGTAGTAGTAGCAGTAGTAGTGGTAGTAGTAGTAGTAGTAGTAGTAGGTAGTACTAGTAGTAGTAGTAGTAGTAGTAGTACTAGTAGTAGTAGTAATACTAGTAGTAGTCGTAGTAGTAGTAGTAGTAGTAATAGTAGTAGTAGTAGTAGTAGTAATAGTAGTAGTAGTAGTAGTAATGGTGGTAGTGGTAGTAAACATAATCGTAGCCCTAGTGATAGTAGTCGTAGTCGTAATACTGGTAGTCGCAGTCGAAATTGTAAGCGTAGTAGTGGTAGTGGTACTGCTAGTGGTAGTAGAAGTAGTAGTAGTCGTAGTCGTAGTAGTACAAGTACTAGTAGAAATAATCGTACAGGTTGTCGTAGCCGTCGTAGTAGTAGCGGTGGAAGTAGTAATAGTCGTGGTAGTAATGGTGGCGGTAGTAGTAGTAGTAGTAGTAGTAGTAGTAGTAGTAGTAGTCCTCGTACCAGTACTAGTAGTAGTAGTAGTAGTAGTAGTAGTAGTAGTAGTAAGCGCCGTCGCTGCCGTGGTAGTAGTAATACGAGTACTAGTCGTAGTAGTAATTAGCAGCTCGTAGTTTGTAGCCCGTAGTTACTAGTTAGTAGTAGTAGTAGTCGTAGTCGTAGTAGTAGTAGTAGTCGTAGTAGTAGTAGTAGTAGTAGTAGAAATAGTAGTAGTAGTAGTAGTAGTAGTACTAGTAATAGTAGTGGTGATAGTGGTAGGAATAGTAGTAGTAGCAGTAGTAGTAGTAGGAGGAGTAGTTAGTAGTCGTAGTCGTAGTAGTAGTAGTAGTAGTAGAAGAAGAAGTAGTAGTAGTAGTAGTAGTAGTAGTAGTAGTAGTAGTAGTAGTAGTAGTAGTAGTAGTAGTAGTAGTAGTAGTAGTAGTAGTAGTAGTAGTAGTAGTAGTAGTAGTAGTAGTAGTAGTAGTAGTAGTAGTAGTAGTAGTGGTAATCATAGTAGTAATGAGTATTCGTATTAGTAGTAGTAGTAGTAGTAGTAGTAGTAGTAGTAGTAGTAGTAGTAGCAGTAGCCGTAGTAGTAGTAGTAGTAGTAGTAGTAGTAGTAGTAGTAGTAGTAGTAGTAGTAGTAGTGGTAGTAGTAGTAATAGTAGTAGTAGTAGTAGTAGTAGTAGTAGTAGGTAGTAGTAGTAGTAGTAGTAGAAATAGTAGTACTCGTAGTCGTAGTATTAGTAAAAGTCGTAGAAACAAAGCAACAAGAATAATGATAGGAGGTGGGGATAAGGAGGACGAGGAGGCGGGGGAAGAGGAGGAGGAGTAGGAGTAGGTTGGGAAGAAGCAAGGGTGAATCATGGACCACATCATCGCCAAATCATGGACCGAAAAACCGAGAATGCAAACCACACCATTGCAATACGGAACGTGGGCCTGGAGAAATGGGGTCCTGATGGAAACGGGTCTTGAGACCCAGAAGCCCCCCGGCCCAGCTGCTCATCCTCACGCGTTTCTCGACGGCCTTGGGGATGGCCCCGAGAACCAAAACGAGGAGGAGAAGGATCGCAGGACCCGCCGTGTCTCTCGGGACCCGCTGGCTCCCCGGTGGCGAGCGCAGGCACAGGAGGAGGAGGAGGAGGAGGAGGAGGAGGAGGAGGAGAAGGAGGAGGGGGAGGAGAGGGAGGGAGGGGGAGGGGAGGAGGAGGAGGAGGAGGAGGAGGAGAGGAGGAGGAGGGAAGGAGGAGAAGGACAAGGTGGAGGAGGAGGAGGAGGTGGAGGAGGAGGAGGAGAAGGAGGGGGAGGAGAGGGCGGGAGGGGGAGGAGAGGATGGGGAGGGGGGAAGGAGGAGTGAGGAGGAGGAGGAGGAGGAGGTGGAGGAGGCGGAGGAGGAGAGGGTGGGGGAGGAGGAGGAGGAGCGGGACGAGGACGAGGACGAGGAGAGGAGGAGGAGGAGGAGGGGAGGAGGAGGAGGAGGAGGGTTGGGGAGGAGGAGGAGGAGGAGGAGGAGGCGGAGGAGGAGGAGGAAGAGGAGGATGAGGAGGAGGCCTTCCCCCCGCCCACCACGTCGACGCCGCGTCAGCCAAGGGCTCTGGAGCCCTCGGCGCGGGGGCCAAGGCCGCGGGCGGGGGCTCCTCTGCCGGGCACCGCGGGCCGAGGGGCGGGGGGGAGGGGCTGCCTGCAGTGGAGGCCCAGGCCAAGAAACACCCTGCCTGCCCCCAGACTGCCCTGGGCTTCTCTTTGGTTTCAATGGCTTTGCGATGGGAAGCGTGACGCGCTCCTACACCAAAAAAAATCCAGGGACGCCCTGGGGTCTCAGGGTTGGGTCTCTTGTGGGAGGTGTTTCTTGTGGACTGGCCCCCACTGTAGAAGCTGCCTGGGCGCTGCGCACGAACGGTTGACACGCTGCCCAGCAACTGCACAGAAGCTGCGCGCGTGCGTTGCCCATAAGGAGGGCTGCCCCTGCCGTGCGAGCTCTGCGCACGAGCCCGTGGAGCGTTTTTGCAGGGAGCGGCTGCTGCCGCTGGGGAGGGTCTGGCTCAGGGGGGGAAACATCGACCTTGGATCGGCGATGCATCGCCGATACAGCGGGGGGAGGAGGATGAGGAGGAGGAGGAGGAAGAGGAGGGAGGAAGAGGAGGAGGAACCGGAGGAGGAGGAGGAGGAGTGAGGAGGACGTTCTAGGACGCAGCCAGGCGAGGAGACAATCGTTCCCACTCTTGCCTACGCAACCAAATTCTGCCCGCAGGGCAGATACAGTGGAGGCCAATCCACAAGAAACCTTCCACAAGAAACCCAACCCTGAGACCCCAGGGCGTCCATGGACTGTTTTGGCGTGGGAGCGGCATGCTCTCCATATAGGATGACCATCGGGACCCGAGAGACCCAGGACACCCTGGAGGCGAGAAGGGTGTTTCTTGGCCTGGGTCTCCACTGTAGATCGGCGACGGGCCCACTGCGAAGCCGCGCGCTGCTTGGGCGGGGAGGGGCTGACTTCTCGGCGACCATGGGGCGGTTGGAAGTCGAGGGGTCCCCCCTGAACCCATTCCCCATGTTCTGGAAACCTGTGTGTGTTTCTTCGTGGGGTACCTTTCGACCGACACTCCTGCTAAACAATAACGTGCGGCATTCAATGCTCCGTTTGTGAGCAAATCGTGGACCCCTTCCCCGACATTGCCCTTGGTGGGTTTTCGCTCATGCATGTAAAACGCGATTCGCATTCGCCAAACAAAACATGCCCAAGTATAAGATCCACTTCCAAGGTGTAAACGGGCTTCTGACATCGAGAACGCAATATACTTGACGATACCTTCCGTCCCAAAGCCGAGCCGTGAAATCCCAAGGAAATGCCGCACAATCCGCAGGAACACCTCGAGGCTCGCCACCACAAGAGAACCCGCACGAACGCACTGGACCTTACATTCAGGTCGGGCATGTCCTCCCACAAGCGGACGTTTAAAGAACGTGAAACATCGTCAGCACATATTCACAAATAGTCAGCATCAACCGGTACTTTAAATGCGGGTACGAATAGCGGGTACGAATAGCTACCTATACATGTGAATATAAATATCATGAAGAAATTAATACGTGAAAAGATATCAAACATCACTGGTAACGAAGGTACGAACGTAATAGGAATCAACGTAGTAGTACTAAGTAAATAACTAAACATCGGCCCCGAACCATGTTTTCACTATGTTGGAATAGTCCTCCTGGAGAGGCCCGACGTAACCTTACAGCCATGGCGCTGCCAAGAACAGCGCTCTTCTGAGAAGGCCTTGCTCTTCTCATGTCCCCCCTCGTTCGCCGCCGAGTCTGTTCTCAGGAAAACCGCGGGTTCAAAGCTCGCAGCGTCAGTGTTGGCGGGCCGTCGCCAGTCTGCCCCGTCGCGCACGGGGAAGCCGCAGGGTTGAGGCAGAGAGAGCGCACCTCCGCCACGGACGGCCAAACGTCCAACCCGTCCCGAGATCCGCCCCCCCTATCCCTCCCAGTTACCTCACCGCGCCATTGTGACAGCAGCAGGCCGATGTGGAAGACGCAGCTGATCCGCAGGCAGAAGCACACGACGGACAGAGGAGAACCAGCATGACGGGAGGGCATCATGGACGAAGGACGAGAGCGAGGGGGAATATACTGGCAGGACAGGTCCCTCATCAGTAGTTCCTCCCCTACCCCCTTAGTATGCTGTCTGATATTCCTCCTGGCACGATTGAGCGAAAGCAAGCAACTTGCATGATTCCTGGGGGTGCGGTCAGACAGGACCGCGCGAGTTTGAATCAAGGTACGAGAACGAGGAGCACAAGAAACATGCTCTTCTCGACGTGAGGTGCGAATCGTGTGGTACGCTTCTGCAACCCGGCTTCGGCCGCTGGTCGTATGACCCGCGCGATTGCTCCTAGTGGCTACCGCTATTGCTACAAATGGCCCAACTGCTACTGGTGCTAGTCGATAGCGCCGCTCTCACCAACGCGAACGCCGCTTCCACGGCAGCTTCCATTGCTTCCGACGACTGGCACTTTTGCCATCAACACTGCCGTAACGACCACAACCGAAAAAGGCGCCAAGACCATGAGGGGGCAACGATCCAGCGGATGCATCGACCTCGACTGGCCGATACATCGCGCATGTATCGTCGACGCATCGTAGATGCAGAACGCCCCATGTATCGTCCTTACATCTTCTATTCGTCGCTCTGATATTACAAATGTGTCGGCGGTGTATCAACCATTCGAGGTCGATGTGTCTGGGGCAAACCAGATGTACCGATACCGCTACTCCCCGGACTTCTCTCGGGGTGCGTTCTGACTAGGATTTCGAAGCGAATCCAGCGGTGGCGACGAGGGGCCCCGCAGGAGGCCCAAGGGAAAACCCGAGGAAAGGTAGCGGTTTGAGGGTACCTTCTCCCCATATCCGTTTCTGCAGTGCCCCCCTTGTCGATGCCCCAGGGGCCAAAGCCACTACCACGACCTTGACCACCGCCAACGCTGCTGCTGCTGCTGCCGTGGACGCGGCCGCAGGAGAGCCCAGAATCGAACCGATAAGTCGGACCTGCAATCGAAACGAATCGGATCGGCGGAACCATCGGCGGCCGAGTGAGTCGGGAGAGAAGTCCAACCGGCGAAATTCTTGGCAGGCTTTAGTAGGCCTCCACTGATTGGGCGTGGCTTAACGGGGGGGTCATAAATGGGGGGGTCAAAAACGGTCCCCTTTCGGGCCCCTTTCGGGCCCCTCCGGAGCCGCAGAAGGCTCGTTTAGGTACCGTTTGGGTACCTTTTCGAACCACTCTCGCCACCCCCCCATGTACGACCCCCCTATTACGCAACGCCCAAATTGAGACATCGGAGCCCAGAGCGGCACCCGAAATCGCATCGCAAAGGGAATCGGAAGCCATGGAGATCGATAGTGAGGTCGACTCGGAGGTGGAGGGCCCATCTTCTTCCACCACCCCCACCATAGGTAGGAGGAGGAGGAGATTGAGGTAGGAGGAGGAGGAGGAGGAGGAGGAGGAGGAGGAGGAGGAGCTCCTCATCCTCCCTTCTCCCCCGTCCTACAGATGGCAGTGGTGGTGGAAGAGATGCCCATCAGGAGGAATCGAGATGAGCCCTGGCTGCCGCTGGGCCGCCGCCGCCGCCCGGCTCCTGCGCCAGGCCCGCCACCAGGCCGATGGCCTTCGCCGCCCGCCCGAGCGCCGAGGCCACCGCCTATCGAGGAGCAGAACAGCTGCCGAGGCCAGGGCTTCGAGCTGTCGTCTTCGTTGCTTGCCTCCTTCGCTTTCGAGGGCGGAGGAGGAGGGAAGGAGAAGGGGGGGGAGGAGGAGGAAGAGGAGGAGGAGGAGGAGGAAGAGGAAGAGGAGGGCTGGGAGGAGGAGGAGCGAGGAGGAGGAAGAGGAGGAGGGCGAGGACTATCGAGGAACAGAAAGTGCACGTGTTTGTTGTTTTCGGTTTTGTTTTCGGTCTTCCTCGGACTGTCTTCGTGCCGCCTCTTGGCTACAAACCGCGCTCAAAACGAAAACGGTCGACAACATCAACAAAAACATCGTTTATACTGGCCATCGCCCGGACGTCCATTCCCTGTGCATGTTTCGATTTCGTGCACGCAGTAGTTTTTCGCAAGGAAGCCCAGCAAGCTCCTCGAGGGTCCTCGCCGAGGCAAAGTGCACACGTCCGAGCGATGCCAAGTCTAGCTCGAGCCCTGGCAGAGGCCTGCTCGCTCCGAGACCCGCACAGGTCTCTTGGATCGGCGCGGGGCCCCTCGCGGAGCGCGCCAGGGGCCGCGCCGACTGCCGACACGCGCCGATCCAGAAAATCCGCGTGGACCTCCGAGAAATGATGCTTTATGTGGGCAGGGACCGACCGTCTCGGCATTCCTATATGACTACCACGAGATGATCTTAAACTTCACACGCGTTCTCATAGCACGAACCATCAGGACAGACGCCCGCTGTGTCAAAACAAAGCAGTCTCGGCCAGACATGTTCGAAGAACGTATCGCGCAGACCACAAAATGTGATCATAACTTTGTTGGGTGGGCCTATAGGCAAGCCAAGACGCGTCGCTACTGCTCGATCATGCCGTGAACTGCTTTTCCGCCGCCTCCAGGTCGGCATCCCTGACGCCGCCCTCGCTCTCGTCCTCGGGGAGACCCAGAGGTACCGATACCGCTGCTCCTCGGTCCTCTCCCGGGGTGCGTTCGGGCCGGAATTCCGAAGCAAACCCAGTGATGGTGACAAGGCGAGGGGTAGCAGTATCTGAGGAAACCAACAGGTACCGACACCGCCACTCCCGGGGCCTCTCCTGGGGTGCGTTAGTTAAGACCAGGATCTCGAAGATAATCTAGCGGTGGCGACGAGGGCCTCCCAGGAGGCCCCACAAGAGGAAAACGAAGGAACGGTAGCGGAAAGGGTACCTTCCCCTCGATTCCCCTCCTCTGCGTATCCGTACCCAGACATGCGACGCCCTGATTTTTTCAACACGGGGTCCCTGGAAGCCCCGACGCTTTCCCTGGGACCGGCTTTTCATCCTGGGTCGTGTCCTGACGCCCCCGAGGCCCGGCGAGGGCCCCCGAGGTCGACTTTGGCCAAAAACCTTCCGCCCCGATTTTTTTTACGACGCGATCATGTCTGGACACCGTTTCCCCCTCGGAGCCCTCGTCCTTGGCATAAACATACACTTGTGGAGGCCGGTGCGGAGTTCTTGGATCTGGGCCAGAACCCCCTCCCTGGCGCGCAGAGCGCGCCAGGGGCGGCGCCGGAGGCGCCGCCAGGGGGCCCCAGCGCGGATCCAAGAAATCCGCGTGGAGCGCCAAAAGTCGGGCGCCCGAGTTATCCGGGGTAACTCGGGTCTGGGGTAACTCGGGTTTGGATTCCCGAAAAAGGAACCCGAGTTAGCCCTGACCCGAGTTACCCCTGATGATTCGGGGCTCTGGACGCCCGAACTATCCGGGGTAAGTCGGGTCCGGGGCAAGTCGGGCTCGGATTCCCGAAAAACGAACCCGAGATATCCCTGACCCGAGTTACCCCTGATGACCCGGGGCTCTGAAAAAGTGTATGCTCACGGCGATTCTCCTTTTTCGATTTCCCCCCCTCGGAGCCCTCGTCCTCGGCCCCGGGGGCTCCGCCGGCGGAGCGCCGGTCGGCCTCCCGAGAGAGGTCCAGCAGCAGCTGCTTTCGGGCGGCCTCGGCGCGCAGCGCGTGCTGCCCCAGCCGGCGAGCGCGGGCCCGCTCAGCGGCCAGCTCCTGCAGGAGGAAGAGGAGGAGGAGGAGGAGGAGGAGGAGGAGGAGGAGGAGGACGAGGAGGAGGAGGAGGAGGAGGAGGAGCAGGAAGAGGAGGAGGAGGAGGAGGAGAAGGAGGAGGGGGGAATGAGGAGGAGGAGGAGGAGTCGTCGTCGTCGCACCCATTCGAGCTCAAGTTCGTCTGCTGGCAACTGACCGCTGCTACGCTCTGGGCCACGGCTGTTTCGCCTGAACTCTGAAAAAGGGGACTCACGTTTCCGAGCCAGCCCAAGACACGCAAGATTACTTCTGGACGGGGGCGGAAACGGTGGAACGGCGTCCAGCCCCTGGCTGGTACGCCCCACGCGGGGCGGGCATTCTTTTCAGTGGGCTAGGCAGGTCTACCATCGACCACAGCAGAGTGGGCGCACACACAACTCCCACCCTACGGCAGTGCAAAGGCAGTCCCCCATTGCCCGTCTCTACCGAAAGCACAACTGTCTATTAACCTAGCTTCACCTGGCGCACGAGCTTACCCCTGGGAGCACGGCCAGCTTTGTTGTTAAAGCCTGCGGCTCGGAAGATTCGATACAGAGCCTGCTCTACTGCGATCACTTTCCCGTGTCCTAGCTGGGCGAACTCGAGCGGACTCCGAATGACTCGAACCTCTGCCCTGCGCTTGTCTCCCTCTTCCGCGTCCTTGTCCTCTAGAACCTTCCACTGACTCTCCTGCTCCTCGTAAGCGTTGGGTCCTGCCTGGTTGGGGTCTGGCAGCGTGATATAGCCCAGGACATTGACCGTAATCCTCGAGATGCTGCTGTCTGCCGTCGAGCTGGTTCCGCACTCCTTGATCCACGTGCTGGCCTGCTCCTGATCTCCCTTCATCATCATCAACAGAAGCCTCCGAGGGATGTCTGCCAACTCCTTCACCGAGTCCTGGGCCTTGCCTGGCTTGTCGAGCCAACTGTTGAAAGCGTTGAGAAGTGCGGCAAACTTCTGCAATTCGGGCGGACCGAGCCCGTGTGTGTTGTTCTTGCCCTCGACCTTCTTCTGGTACTCCTGGTAGGTCTGCTTCAGCGTGTCCACGAACAGGTCGTCGCTCGGTCCGTGCACCACCAGGCCCGCTCCGAACTCCAGTGTGCGCACCCGCGATTCCAGCTGTCGAAGCAGGCGAGCGTTCACGTGGGAGTCCTCGACGCCCTTGCCCGAGCCCTTGCGCGCCTTGTTGCTGTCTCCCTCCGCGTTGGCCTCCGTTGCGACCCGCTTGAGAGCGCTCGGCATGAGCCACTGGACCTCCATGGAGCAACTCGAGATCTTCCAGCAGACCAGGCAGCTCGAAATCCAAACAATGATCCGCCAGGTGCTCCTGCAGATGCTCGGACAAAATGCGTCTACGGAGCTCATCATTGTCGGCCCCCTCGAAGTCATCGCAGGCTGGGCAAGCATAGGACGAGGGCTGAATGATATGTCCGTCTGCGCGCCCTCGGTCTACACAGCATAGGCCCGTGCTGGGGCTCTTGTGCATGTGCCTTTTTGCATAGTCAATCGAAGAGAAATTCGAGCCACAGATCACGCACTGACTGGATACACAGCAGAGTCTCCCAAGAAGTTGCTTTCCGTGAGTGCCTCCCTTGGTTCTCAGATAGTGGGCCGCCAACTGCTTTTTTGTCCTGAAGCGTTCAGTACAGGGCTCTCCATCGGCTCGAAGGGCCTTGCATTGGTGGGGCCCTCCACTCTCGATCTCCTCCTGCCCCCTCTCGTGCTGTGCGATGTTGAGGAAATAGTGCGACGCGGTCCCTCCCACATCCACTTGAACGAACTTCCCCCTCCCCTCGAATAATATCCCCTCCAACCCATAGATCTCCATCAACCTCGCCCCGTCATCGAAGAGTTCGATCGCTCGTATGTCGTCGCAGAACTGTTCGCACCGCGGGTTCGCCTTCGCGTCGTTGCTCATATACTTTTCGAGCTCGGTCAAATCCTCGCCCCGAGAGCACCCGAAAACGACCGCAAGAAATTGAGCACAGACAAGCTTGGAGCCATCGGAGCCTTCGAACTCTCATTTCCACATGTGGGGCTGCGAGGCGCACTTTTGCAAGGGCCTGTAGGTTGGTGGGGGTGCGAACGGAGCCGCCCTCCCGCCACTGAGCTGTACCTCGCAGCAGGATCCGAGCACGCATAGCAAGAAAGCGAAGAATGGGTTGCCAATCATGCGGGCGCATGGGGCCCGCTCGAGCACACAGGACCTCCGCTCCACTGCAACGCGCATTGGCCACATACCCTTTGAGCATGTTGATCTTCCAACCAAGAGACACTGCACTCTGCCAAAACTTAGAGAGATTATACCAGGCGGTGCGCCCAGCATGTAGTCTGTACTCTATCTCACACAATGCAAGCCTCGAATGAATGCGCGGGCCCAAATATCGCGCACACACTGTCGTACGCCCAGCAAGCTCCTGATCTCTGAGGAACTTCGCTTCCATGGAAGCTGCGTTGGCGCCTGTGAAAAAAAAAAAAAAAAAAAAAAACTAAATTCTCCTGCTTGCTCACATTCTGAATCATCTGGATCTCGGCGAGCCTCTCAGTGATGACTTCGTTCTGAGAGACTCCCTCCGCCATGATACTATCTGCGTTGTTAGTGACATCGAAATTGTCGGCTACATCGTCCACATACACAATGAACGAAGCTTGAATCCACTGAGCCGACCATGCGCACTTGAAACTGGCAGCTCGGTAGTTAGAAATATTGATCGAACCCATTCCCATTTGTCTGGCATAAGCACATACAAAAAGTCGGACCATGGCGGGATCTCCAGGCATGCATCCCCGCTGTAACCAAAGAATGTCGTTCTCAACACCTGGTAGTCGAAAGCATGCAAGAGCGACTCGAAACTCCATGATCTGCCAATCTTCCTCTCGAAAAACTCGCTCGACTTCGTGACATAAACTGTCATGGTCGATACTGTAAAAAGCGTTGGTGGCGTCGTGCAACCTCTTAATGTGGGACTGCCCAGCCTGAAGCTTGCGCCAAGAGTACGCCTGCTGCACCACCACTGCAGCCTCCCGACGTCGCCCTCTGAGACAACCGTAGATCCACGGTTCAAGGGCAGGTGGAGCTCCTCGGGCTAAGAGGCTGCGGTAGTACGTCTTGGCGATGGTACACACGAGCATGATAAGTCGTTCGCCGTCCACGCCCTCCTTGTTGTTGCCCTTGCCAATCTCGCAGGCGCCCGACAGGATCCACGGCAAAGGAAGCTTGCCACTGGTGCGGATACCTGTGAACAAGCAGGCGAGCAGGAAGTAGACAGAGTTGGCCGAAATGCGCGACTGCTGCTCGTAGCCGATGCCGTGGTGGTGAGTCGCCCTGCGCTTGTTCACCCAGTTGGGGAACATGGCAGTGCGGAGGAGCTCCGCGATGACGCTGTCCTGAGGTGCGACACGCCAAAGCCTGAGCCGCCACACCTCATGCTTGAAAGCGTCGATGTCCTCTTTGACCTCATCTGCAGTGACCGATGTGAAGGCTTCGGGAAGCTCGTGAAGCATGATGTTCATGTCGTTGAAGCTGACAAGTTGCGCTGCGGCCCCACCCTCTGCCCCAGGTTGTTGCATCCTGGTAGTGGGGGCGAGGAGGGGGGGGGGGGGGGGGGCCGCCTGCGCCGAACTACCCGTGGTCGCCGTTATGGGCCAGCCGCCTCAACAGTGGGCTAGCCCTCGGTTTCTACACCACGGCTCGCACGACTGCGGCCTATGCTTGCACTCGCCGCCGAGACCCCGAGGGCACGACGGCCAGCGCCTTCCATCCCTGCCCTGGCGCCCCCCATGTTGTCCAGGGGCCTCAGGCAGTGTGCGGCTCTGGCTGCTGGGGCCTGGCCTTCTCGGGCTCCGCGGCCCCCGCGCGCGCCGTCGCACAGGCCATCTCCCAGGCACAAGCCTCCCGCGATCGGTGTCGCTCTTCTGCCCTCCGCTCCTGCTGAACGGCCTGATCGAGGGCCGCAGCGGCACGCGCGACGGCGCCTGGGGGCGCCGCGGGGCCCTCCTGCAGCCGCACCACCGCCCGCGCCGCGGCCGCGCAGGCAGCCGAGCAGCAGCGGCGGCACTTCGCAGCGTCGTCCTCCGCTGCGACCGCCGCGCGGAGGGCTGTCATCTCCGCTTCCTCTGAGGGGTTTGCCTTCGCGGCTCCCACAGGTTGCACGTCTACAATCCGATCACCAGCCATCAAGATGGGGTTGATGATGCCATCCAGCGCCTTCTGCTTACCCTCGAACCCGGCAGTAGGTGCATGGCCATCGACATCCCGTCGTTGACCTCGAAGCCCTGCGCAGTCTTGTCAAACTCCTGCGTTTCGTCCGCCTCTGCCTTCGCAGCCTCATCGTCGAACTGCTCCGTGCTCGCCCCGACCGCCATCGCCTCGCTGACCTCGAGCCTCCTCCCGAGGAGGTTCGCGCTCACGATGTCCACGTCTAGACCCAGTACCTCGTGCACCTCGAACCTCTTCTCGGCGAGGTTCGGTTTCACGATGTCCACGTCCAAATCTTCTAGCATCTCGTGTTCCGTGGCCTTCATGACAGTTGGGTTGACGATCTCCTCCAGGACCAGCGTGGTATGGGCACCCCTCGGCAGGGCCTCCCCCAGCGGGTCCACGCCTCCGCAGGGGAGGGACTCACCGCGCAACGGGTCCACACGTCCATCGAGGGACGCACCGTGCAGGGAGGCCCCTAGCGCCAGGCCCGGCGCGAGGGGTGCAGCAACGCCGCAACCAGCCAGCGTGTGGTGGACACCCCTCACAGGGGCCTCCCCTGGCGGGTCCACGCCTCCGCTAGGGAGGGACGCGCCGCGCAACGGGCCCACACCTCCATCGAGGGACGCACCGTGCAGGGAGGCCCATATCGCCAGGCCAGGCGCGAGGGGTGCGGCAGCTCCGACGCCGAACTGCAGCTCGCCCTCGTCCGCCACCCCCTTCATGAACATGGGGTTGGCGATGCCATCCAGATCCTGCTGCTTGGCCTCGAAACCGACGGTGAAGCAACCAACCCGCTGCATGGCCATCGGCATCCCGTCGTTGATCTCGAAGCCTGGCACGGGCTCCTCGTCGAACTCCTCGGTGCTCGCCCCGAACGCCAGCATCTCGTTTAGCTCGAACTTGTTCTCGACAATGACCACATCCAGCGCCGCCAGCACGGCGGCGGCCTGCTCCCCAAGGCCATCGCTCTCTCCTCCGCGGCCTCCGCGAAATTCTGCGGCACGAAAGGCGCGGCGCCAGCACGACGAGGAGGGCTCGAAGCCGCCTCCCCTCTGCTGGCCAGCGCCGCCTCCAGCACCGTAACGTTCATTCCAACCGGCGGAGGTGGCGGGCTGCAAGCAGCCCCGGGGGGCGACGCACGGCGAGCCGCGTTGCCCTGCACCAACAGTTCCTCGGCCTCCTCGATGAGGCCGCCCTCGACGCCCAGGAGACGGCCTGCTGCCACCGCATCGCGCATCAGGGGCACGTGGCAGCCCGTCGCGTCGCACAGCCGCCAGTGCACCACCAGCGAGGCCCGCAGGGCCTTAACGCGATGCGCCAGCGCGGCCGCCCTCGGCTGCCCCAGCTCCCGACGTCTCTCGCGACGAAGCCTTCGCGCCAGGGTCCGCGCGCTGGCCGCAGCCCAGCCTCGCCCTGCAGGACCAGCATCCAGGACCGCTTGCGCGCGACCGCGGGCCCGCCGCGGGCGCGCGCCGTGCGAGGGTCTCCCGTGAGCCAACTCGCTTGAGCCGAAATGGCTACGGGAGATGAGGAGGAGAAGGACGAGGAGGAGGAGAAGGAAGAGGAGGAGGACGAGGAGAGGACAAGCACAGGACGAAGGCAGGATCGAGACAAACATCGGACCGATAGAAGAATACAGGATCTCTCGGAGAATCGGCGGGCTGGGGGGATGCCTCTCGGGCGCCGCGGCCGCTGCAGAGCGCTCCGCGGCGCTCCGAAAGCGTTCCAAAGCGCTCTCGAGCGATACACAGTGAGCCCGTATCATAGAGACGCGCGACATGGATGCAAAGGCCTGGGACGCCGACTCCGGAGCTTTTTCGAGCGGGGCGCGGCCAGCAACCGTCGCCAAGGATAGGCCGAAGGGGCAAGGATGCAACGGTACCCTTGGGGGGGTGCCCATCCTCACTGTGCGGGTTGACTGTGCATCTCGATTCTCGGGGCATGCCTGCAAAAGCTGAAACAGGAAGAACAGAATCGTTGAACGGTCCGCGCTTCTCGAGGGAACTCCCGCTCTGGCCCATGAGCGGCGCGCCAGAGGGCGGCGCCGCAGGCGCCGCCAGGGGGGCCCAGCGCGGATCCAAGACATCCGCGCGGAGCGCCAAAAATCAATGCTTGTGGCGCTTCTCTTCTTCGAGGTACATCTCGATTCCCTGGGCATGCCTGCAAAAGCCGAGACACGAAGGACAGAAGCGTGGAAAACGCTCCGCGTCTGGCGCATTTCGTGAGCGGCGCGCCGAGGGGGCGGGGCCAGGGCGGCGCCGCCACGGGGGGCCGGCGCAGAGCCAGGCGGTCGCCGTCGTGCCTTTTTCTTTCTTCTGCGGCGGCTCTTCTCTGGGACGCGGAGGGACCTGCTGGAACCCGGTGCCTCTGTGCGAGGCGCTCGCCCGACAGGAACATGTGGTGCACAATCCTGGAGTGCACAGTGGAGGTGCAGGCCAGTCCACAGGAGACCTTCCACGAGAAGCCCCACCCTGAGACCCCAGGGCGTCCACCGATTTCCGGTGTGGGAGCATCACGCTTCCCATCGCAGAACCATCGAAGCCCAAGAAGCCCAGAGCACCCTGGAGGCGAGCAGGGTCTCTTGGCATGGGCCTCCACTGTTTGTGCCTCTGCTGGAGGCGCACGCCCAGGAGGAACATATATGAAGGGGCCCAAGGACACAAATGAATACACACAAATCAAACTATTCCCCATCTTTTACAATATTTTTGGGGGGTTCGTCTTCCCCCCCACTTCCCATACTTTCCCATACTTTCTGGGCAATCGACGATGCGTTGTGTCTAGGTGTTCCTTTCCCTCCTGAATGTATCGTGCACCACCCTGTTGTAGTAGGTCGTCCCTGGAGCGGCGCGGCCAGAAGGCGCTCGCCAGAGCTATGGTACTGCAAGATCCCAGAGCCTGCGACTCGCCCCTTGCGCGGCCGACGCACATGTGAGCGTGGTTCTTACTCGGCGTTTCGACACTGGGCGGAGGGGGGTGGGAGGGGGGGGGGTCTGGCTCCGAACCTCTGCCTATGCGTCCCACGGGGGGAGACTCCACTTGCTTGAAACAGGCGCTCGAAATAGCCAGGCTCTACTCCACGGGAAGGGGGGGGGGCGAGGGGGGGGGGGGGGGGGCGAAAGCCCGCGCCGATCGGCGAAACAATGAAGAAGAAAACGATTACCATGTGGTCTACGTATGTTTCGGTGGTGGCTGCCGACGCTTCCCCGAATCCTCGCGGAGCCGCTTCAGCGCCTCGGCCGCGCCGTCGCGCCGCGCCTCAGGCCAGAGCCCAGAATCGAATCGAGGAGTCGGATTGGCGATCGCAACGAATCGGATCGGCGGACATCGGCAGCCGAGTCGGGAGAAGCTGAGTCGGCGGAAATCGGCGGGCTGGTAGGCCTCCGTTGAAAAATCGAAAGCCGAATTTATATTAAGAGTGAACGCCATGACCATAACTTGTGGCGCTCCGCGAAGGTTTCTTGGATCTGCGCTGGACCCCCTCCCTGGCGTGCTCCACGGAGGCGACGCCGAGGGGCCCAGCGCGGATCCAAGAAACCCGCACCGAGCGCCAAGAGTTTCTGTTTATGGCGTTGTTTCTCCTTCGAGAATCAGAACCCAGAACCGCACAGAACATCGGAAGCGGAAACCATCGGCCTCAAACCGTGTCGAATCGCGGAGGCATCGGGATGAGCGCCCGCGGCCGCCTCCTCCAGCGCCCGCCCGGCGCCCTGGGCCTCCTTCGAGCAGGTCATGGTGTACAGTGGTTGCCAGTCCACAAGAGACCTTCTACGAGAGACCCGACCCTGAGACCCAGGACGTCCATACATGTTTTTGGTGTGGAACACCACGCTTTCCATCGCGAAACCATCGAAATCCAAGAAATCCAGGGAACCCTGGAGGCAAGCATGGTGTTTCTTGGCATGGGCCTCCACTGTACCCCGAAATCGGCATGCTTGTCTGCTCTGCCAAACCAATACGTAGAATGCTGGCAGATCTAGGAAAGCTATACGTGTTTTTTTGTAGATCTGTGGGGAACGTCAGTTTTGGGGTAACTTTGGCGGTGCGCGCAGGGGTTTAGGGGGAAGGGGGGAAGGTTTCTTAGAAGTACCTCTGTTTCTTAGAAGGGGCCAGCCCTACATCTACAGACGAAGCCCGCGCAATCTAAGAAGCAGCCTCCTTCCAAGAAGCCTTCCCCTCTCCCCTTACCCTGAGGTCGGGCAAGTCGCTCACGGGCGGATTATGGAAGACAAACAGAGCATACTCAACAACTCATCCCAAATAGTTACAAGAGCACTAAGCATCGCCGCCTGACTAGTTTTAACCATTATTGAGTGCCCCTCCTCGAAAAAAGGACATGCCCGACTACAGGCCTCCTAGATACGGGTCCGAGCTGATGGGGTCGAAGGATCGCGCCGCATCGCCAATGCATCGCCGATGTATCGGCGATGCATCGGCGACGCATCGGCCCCGTCGGCGATGCATCGGCGACGTCGGCGTGGGGAAAATCGGGCTCCACATCGAGCCGCACCGTCGCTGCATCAGCGATGCGGCGCGATACTCCGACCCCACTTGCTCGGACCCCATCCAGGAGGCCCAGACCGACCTCACCCTAACTCGGCGGTGGACAAACCTCCCTTTAGTAAACCTCCCTCTAGTGAAAACAGCCTGGGACCGAAACTCACGGGCCTGGACCCGCCAAAAAGGCGGCCGCGACGCCCTCTCGCGAACCGAAACCGGCCAATTCGCTCATCGACGCGTCAGGGTAGGTCCGTCCGCCCCCGACGAACCCTTCCCCCCTCTGCAGGTGCCCGAGACAACGTCAGCTCCGCCGTCGACCCCCCTTGCTCGACTCCTCGCGCTCGGCCCTGCAGGCCTCCCGCGCCTGCGCCAGCTCGGCGCGCAGCGCGGGGAGGCCCTGCCCGGCGCCCTCCGGCGGCGGGGCCCCGCCGCGCAGCTGCTCCTGGAGCTGCCGGCACTCGGCGCGCAGGCGGCGGGCCTCCCGCAGGCCGAGGGGGTCGCCGCCCTCGCCGCCGCCCTCCATCGCCACGGCCGCCGCCACCTGGGCGGGGATCCTCCTCCCCCTCCCGCCTCGCCCTGCCTCCCGCCTGCTCCTCCTCTCCCCCTTCTGCCCTCCGCGTGCGGCCCTCTCCTTCGACCCGCCTCGAGGTGCCGCCGACCCCGTCTTTGACCTCCAGCTCCCCCTCCCAGGTCCAGCTCCGCCCCCAGTTCTCCCCCAGTTCTCCCGGGTCCCGTGACCTCCTCTCCTCCCCACCCCTCCCATTCCCCCCCCTCCTCGCCATCGCTCGGACGTCCATTCCCCGTGCATGTTTCGGTTTCATGCGTTTTTTTTCTTCGGCTCGAGAATCCGGGATGCTCCTCGGTGGTCCTCGCCGAGGTTCAAGTCCACACGTCCGAGCGATGCCAAGAGAAACTCAGGAGGCAACTGCCCGGAGGTCTTCGTCGGCATTGAGCCCCATTGGGGGGCTGTTGCGCCAAATGCAGCCGCGGACTAAGCGGGAGAAGGCCGGCTGAAACGGGATGAAGCCGGATGAAGCAGGATTCGGCCCGACGAGGCCGGACTTTGGACCAGGGCAAAGTCAGAATTCGACCTCCCAGGAATAGCACCCAAACCCTCCACCGCCACGGCCGCCGCCACCTGGGCGACGATTAAAAAGGCGCGTCTTGCGCGAGATGGCGTGGCGACCTCGCGCGGTGGCTCGCGCGGGCAGCTCGCGCGCGAATGTCGGCGCCGACGGCCCCTCCTTTTCTTGGAGTTGTCCACCTCGAGGGAGTACTCCATGTCGGCCAGCTCCGACCTCAGCTCGGCGTTCTCCTCCCCGAGGGCGCGGAGGCTGCCCCCGTCCTCGGCGGCGGCCTCCTCCAGCTCTGTTCGCGCGCGATGAAGCGCCAACTGCGCGCCCTGGTCAACACTTCGGCCACATCCTCGATTGCCGCTGCCCCCGCGGCCGCCGCCGGCGACGTCTGCCACGCCGCTCCCCGAGGAACCGGAGAAGCCACTGCGTGCCCTGCGGGTGACCGCGGCGCCGCGGGGACCGCCCTCCCGGGCGTCCTCCGCGGAGGAAGCGGACATGTCTAGGGGAACGAACAATGACGTAAACAGAAAAACTCGGAGGTCCGCGCGGACTTCTCGGATCGGTGCTGGACCCCCCTGGCGGCGCCTCTGGCGCCACCCCTGGCGCGCTCCGCGCGCCAAGGAGGGGGGGGTCCACCGCCGATCCGAGAAATCCGCACGGACCTCCGAGTTTTTCTGTTTATCTGCATGCTCGCTTCACTGAATGGAACGCCGCAGCACGGGGCCTCTGGCGGCGGCGCCGCGAAGGGCGCCCCCAGAGCTGCCCTCCGAGGACGACGGGGAGGGGGCGCGGCGCGCCCGCGTAGTGGCACCCGCGGCGGCACCCTCCTCGGCGCACGCTGTGCCCTCGTCCTCGGAGGAGGCACGACGACGGCGACGACGACGACGACGACGACGCGACGACGAAGACGACAACGACGACGACGGCGCATGGCAGAAACGGCTCGGCGCGGCACCGGGTGGGAGCCGCCCTGCGGGGCCGTCCTCCGAGGAGGCTGCCGAGGCGGCGCGACGCGGCGCAGGGGCGCGGGCGGCGGCGCCGCGGCCCGGCGCCTCCTCGGAGCCGTCCCCCGAGGAGGCGGACGGGGCGCGGCGCGGCGCGGGGGCGCTGGCGGCGGCGCTGCGGGCGGCGCCCTCGGAGCTGCCCTCCGAGGAGGGGGAAGGGACGCGGCGCGGCGCGGGAACGCCGGTTGCGGCGCGGCGGGCGCCGCCCTCTGGGCCCTCGTCCGAGGAGGCGGAGGCCGCGAGGCGTGGCGCGGGGGCCCTGGCGGCGGCGGTGCGGGCGGCCCCCTCCGAGCCCTCCTCCGAGGAAGCCGAGGGCGCGCGGCGCAGCGCCGGGGCGCAAGCAGCGGCGCTGCGGGCGGCGCCCCCGGATCCACTCCCCGAGGAAGCGGGGGAGTCTCCTGCAGCCAGCGGGAGGGCGGGGTCTTCTCCCCAAGAGCTCGAGGAGGCGCGACTCGGAACGCGGCCGCCACTGCTGGCGACGGGAGGGTCGGCCGCGCAGCGCAAAATAGCTGACTCGGCCTCGGTGGTCGCTGCGGGCAGCAGCTCGGCCGTATGCACGAGGCTGTCGAGCTCGGCGCGCAGCTCCTGGGCTTCCCTCGAGGACTCATTGTATTCCGCACGCGCGCAGCGTTCGGCCTGCTCTTCCGAGGCGAGCGCCTCCGCAAGGCGCGCCGCGTGGTCCTCCAGTCGGCGGGCCAGCTCCGCTTCCAAGCACAACTTCTCGTCCAACCCAGCCATGGACACGCGCAAAACCTCGAGCTGCTGCGAGGCGTCGATGAGGTTTGAGGGTCCTCTCCTTGGCGGCCCCCAAGCGTAGGAGTCCAGGTCCGCCTCCGCGACCGGGGCCTTCTCCGCTGGCACGGGCTTTGCGGCGCACTCGCACTGCGACCTGCTCGACGCCAGTTCCCCCATGAGCTGCGCGACCCTGCCCTCGAAACTCTCCGCCGCCTCGACCTCGGAGGCCAGCTCGAGCCGCGCAGCGGACGCCTCCACCTGGCTGTCCGCCAGCGCCTCCGCAAGCCGTGCGACCCTGGCGTCCAGCATCTCCTCGGACTGCGCCGCCGCCGCGCACTCCAGCTGTGCCGCAGACGCCCCCGCGACGCGGGCCGCCAGGTCATCCTCCAGCTGCGCAGTGGACCGCTCGAGAGCACGGACCTCGCGGTCGCGCCGGTCCCGCTCGGCGCCACACGCCGCCTCGGCCTCGGCCGCGGCGGCGGCCGAGGCCTGCGCCTCCGAGCGCAACACGGCGACCTCCCCCTGCAGACCGGCCGCGCTCGCCTGCGCGGCAAACTCGTGGGCGCAGAGAGCACGCTTGAGCTTGCAGGACTCCCGCTCTTCTGCGGCCAGCCGCCCGCCGACCTCCTCCGCCAGCGCGCTGGCGAGCTTGAGGCTCTGGCTCGTGCGGAGGTGGTCCTCTCGCAGCTGTCCCCAAGGGGCGTCGGCGCTGCCCAGCTCGCCCAGGGGCGCCTTCGCCGCGGGCTGGGCGTCGCCAGAGGCATCGCTGTGGACCGGACTGGACTGGTGCTTTGCCTGCGCAGAGAGCGCCTGTGCACCACCATGCCTGGCCAGGGACAGGGAGGTCCTGGGCCCTGGCACGGTGTATATATACACCCTACTTAGCGCAGGCCATAATACGACGGGTTCGCTCTGCGATGACGTCGACGCCGGTTCATGAGGGGCAACGACAGGGTAGATTAGGGATTGAGGGGGAAACGTCGACATGGAATCGGCGATACATCGCCGATAGATGGGCGATAGGCCCCCGATAGTGAATGCGCACCTTCCTGGGCAGAGTGGGGCTATCGGGCCCCTATCGGCGATCAATGGGCGACTGGGGGTCGATGCATCCCCCCTATGCCTATTCCCCCCCTATCGTTCCCCCTGAGTTCATGACACCGAGTGGTCTGGTCCACCTCGAGCAATCGCGGCATGGCCCCACTCCGGGCCACCGGCAGCGCTCAATTTTGATCGCCCGCGCTCAGGCCGCAGCCGCCGCGGCGCGGCGGGAGAGCCCGCCGCAGCGCCCAGGATGGCCCCGGCCGCGCTCGGTGTGGGGGTATCATCTGAGCAGGGCGAGCTGAGAGAACGGTTCAGAGGGGCGTGTCGCTCTACAGGAGGAATGTTCAAAAGTAGCCAGAAAATAGTATGGGGACGTTTTTGCTTGCGTATGTTAAATGATGTTCTCTAGTATGTTGTTATTTCTCGTCCCAAATCCGTCTGTAGGAGGACACAGCCGACCTAAGACAACGGCAGCTCAAAACTGGTCCCCCGACCCCCTCCCAGGGTCCAAGCGCACCAGTTTCCCGAGCTGCGCCCAGCCGTTGCGACGAGGGGGCCCTCCCACAGGACAACCAACTACCACTGGCTCATCTCGCCCTCCCCCTGCATGATACAATCCCGGAGATCCGACGTCGCGGAACAAAAACAGCATCGACAACAAAAACACGACTGGAACCCTCGACCATGACTTCTGCTGCATGTCCCCGGCCAGATCAATCCAAGAGGCTCCTGGGGCCCAGAGTACAGCCAACCCGTACAACAAGGACGCGCGGTCAGGATGCAAAGGGCCTTGGGGGGCTATGTTAACGTCGTTCGAACGAGGAGGGCAAGCGGAAGTCGCCAAAGATGGGCCGAAGGGGCAAGGATGCAAGGGTAGCCTCCCCAGACATGCGACGTCCAGATTTTTTCAATGCGGGGTCCCTGGAAGTCCCGACCCACTCCCTGGGACCAGTATTTTATTCTGAATCGTTTTTTGACTGTCCCGAGGCCCGGCGAGAGCCCTTCGAGGCCGCAATTGGCCAGAAACCTCCCGTCCTTTTTTTTTTTCGACGCGATCATGTCTGGTTCGGAAGGTCGCTCATCCTTACAATGCGGGTTCACTGGAGGGCGAAGTCGCCGCGTGCGGTCAACACGGGACGCCAAGACATCTCAGGGCACGGGCGCCCTCTGCGGACGACGCGCGTGCCTTCAGCTGCAGCAGCACGGCGGCGCCACGCCCGCCCTCGAGAGCGTTTCTTTTGATCGTGGCGATAAAGGGCGTAACGCCACCCCTCCCCAAGACGAAGCCAGGAGAGGGATAACACTGGGGGAGGATAAGTCGAGCATCTCTGAGATCCAGCAATTCTGGTGGATGTCTCAGGCGCCGCGGCCTTCTCAGAGCGTTCTGGAACGCTCTGGAAAGGAGTTCCCCTCGTCCTAGCCCCGTCCGAGCATAACGCAATGCACCCCCCCCGCTGTGTGGGTGAGTTTCAAGCTATGGGAACATGAGCGGGGGGGGAGGGGGAAACATCACGCGCATTCTTCGAGAAATCAAAATGTACCGATGCCGCCACTCCCCGGACCTCTCCCCGGTTACGTTCTGACCAGAATTCAAAACGAATGCATTGGTGGCGACGGGGGCCTCCCAGGAGGCCCCAAACGGCAACACCGAAGGAAGGGTAGCGATATGTGAGGACCTTTTCCACCTCTGAAATATGGCCCAAACAGTGAAAACACATGAACTCCAGGATTATCCAGGATAACTGCGGTCCAGGGAAACTCTGGCTTGGACCGCCGAGTCGCCAATCTGCAATTACCCCTGGCTGCCCCCAACACTGATGATTCGGAACGGTTGGACGCCCGAGTTATCCGGGATAACTGCGGTCCGGGGTAACTCCGGTTTGGAACCCCGAGGCGCGAATCTGTAGTTACCCCTGGCTGCCCCCAGCCCTGATGATTCGGGGCTCTGAGAAAAAATACTCTCCTTTGATCGGCGGCGAGCCACGGGGGGAAGTGAGAAGAGGCGGGCATTCTCAGAAGGTTCGGAAGTCCCCCAGACTTCTGAGACGTGTTCTAAGCCTTCCCCGAAAACATAAAAAAAAAGCCTTCTGAGAAGACCGTCTCCTTCTCATTTTCCCCCTCGCTCGCCGCCGATCTGAGCGATGGCCCAGAGGGTGAACCACACACTTGAGCAGGGACCGACCGTCCCAGCATTCCTTGAGGCCTACCATGAAATGCTCGTAGAACCAGATCATGTTCTACGACCACACACAATGTTTATATTATATAGAACAGAAGCCCGAGGTGTGAAAACAAGACAGACCCCGCCAAAAATGCTCTAATCAGATTCCGCGCGACCCACAACAAGTTTTTAGAACATTATTTGGTGGGCCGACGTTGGCGGCGCGCACAGTGGGGGTAGGGGGAGGGGAGGGAAAGGCTTGTTAGAAGCACCTCCGCTTCTTAGGAGGCGCGGGCCTTGTCTGCAGATGCCAGGCCCGCGCCTCCTACGAAGCAGCCTCCTTCTAGGAACCCCACCCACTATCCTTAGGTCGGGCGTGTCCTCCTGCAGCCGAATTTTGGACGACAAAAACGAAGAGTCACACGTAATCAAACATAGTCGAAATACTAAACAATTCGTCCCCTGACTATCTCCTGATCATTCAGAACTCCAATCTTTTGATTATTTCGAACACGAAAGAAAAGCTCAAACAAGTCAAACATACTGCAGCGAATCGGTCCCAGATTATCTCTTCCTATTTCTTCCATTGTTCCCCATGTTGTCGTAGGGGGACATGCCCGATTGAACCCTTTCCCCCCTCCCCCCTGTGCGCACGGCCAACGATGAGCGAAAGCTGGGACGCTCCGACACTGCTCGCCACTGCTCTCCTCCGCGGGCGCCGCCAGCGCCGCCGCCGCCGAGAGGCGCGCCCACTCGCCCGGCGCCTCTCGGGCTGTACACGCCAAAGAGAGTGACTCGGGCAAGTCCTCCTACAGGCGATTTTTGGAGGGGAGAGAGAACATAGTCAAACCATCATCAAGTATAGTCCTACAATAACATAAGAAAAAAACAACTAATCCAAT